GGGAGGGGAGGGGGGGTTCTTCTCTTCTCTTAATGAAATTGATGAGGCCCACCATTGTGAGGAGATAAGAGGACAGGGCGGGGTATAAAGCCCCCTCAGATCTGCACTTGACCCATAAGTGGAGGACATGCAGCCGTCCTCAGACTGCCCCCCCACATACACACTCCCCCCACCCCCCTCCCAGCCTCCACAGTGATACTGATGAGCAGGTTTTTTAATTTCAACTTTTCAGATTGTCGGGTTCGATCTTAATCCAGGATTGATCCACGGCTTTTTCCCCCCAAATGTTTCGCCTTTGTGCTCTAATCCTAGCGCCTCGTGTGGCGAAATGTTTTCATCTGCTCGGAGATTAATTCAGATATAAATGCCTGACAGCAATAAGAGAAACTTTTAACTCAGTCTGAGCAGAAACTAAATATCTGCTGAGAATTAAAGAAGATTCAGAGGAAAAGTGGCCAAAGTTGGCAGAGGTCATTTGACCTTTCATGTGACCTCTGACCTGAACAGCTGAAAATCCATACTGAAGATATTTATGTATTTATTTTAATACAGTCTTGTGTTTTCCTTTAAACATGCTACAACTTTAGCATCTATATATTTATACTGAGTTTTTTTTTTTTAACAAATTTATTGGTAAGCACAGTAGGATTTTTTGGGATAAACTAATTAAAAAAAATGATTGTTTGACTCAAAGTTTTAAATATACGCAGTCCTTGTACAGTCAACTAGTGGTCGGAGGTTTAAATGCAACACAAAAATGAACCGACAGCATGAATATTTGCATGTTAATAAAACTCCATAGTGTTGTAGAATATCAGTACGATATTGTGAATTGAAATATCGTGAAGTTTCAATTCACAATAGCCTTGTTACATTTCATCCTGTCCTTTTTTTCCCCTTCTATTTCACTTCTTACACTTGTCTGTATTTCTCTTGAAATATTTCTGAAGTACTCTTACAGGAGCGGCTGTAAAACCAACAACTTCTCCTCAGGGATCAATAAAGTATTTGTGATAAAGTTGCAGAGTCAGCAAATCCTGCGACCGAATCCCAGGTGACGAGGACACGGAGACGGCGCGACCTCTAACACGTCTTCACACACGGATGTTATCGGAGGAGACAGACAACACGGGGAAGACAACAAGCGGTGGGTGTGTTTACCCCCCACCTCCCCTCCCTCTCTCTCTCTCTCTCTCTCTCTCTCTTCACTTCCACCCCCATCCTACGACCTCACCACCATCAGCCCCCTCATCCTCATCTACTTGCTCCCTCACTCTCACTCTCTTACACACACACACACAGACACACTCATACACACACACCAGCCCTGGGCAAATGTGAGGCAGCGATCGAGTGAAAACGCCAGGAGCTGGAAACGTGAACGAGGAGGATCAGAGGCCTCGTTAGAAGAAAAAAAAAGACGAAGAGAAAGAAGGTTCTACTGATCGGATGACATTCAGGTGAGGAGGACTCCCTGACAGGGTGAGGGAGGGAGGGAGGGAGGGAGGGCAGAGTTAGAGTGGAAGAGCTGGGACAGTGTTGGAGGGAGGGAGGGACACCTGAGACCTGGAGAAACACCTTAGTGTCCCGGGGGGAGGAGTGGAGAGGAAGGGGGAGTCAGTGGAACACCCGATGACAACAACAACCTGCTCTCGCTCCTCCTCTCTCCTCCATTCTCACTCCGTCACTCTCTCTCTCTCCCTCTCTCTCTCTCCCTCTCTCTCATTTGATACATCTCTCATTTCTGACTCCAGAGGAGGAA